TTTTAAACCTCAATAATTGTTATTTAGTGCCAGCTTTGAGCATGAACATTGTATCTGGATCTTGTTTAATGCGAGATGTCTACTCAATTAAATCCGAGAATAATGGTCGTTCTATTTATATGAGAGATATGTTTTATGGTCATGCCCCGCTGGTCAATGGTTTTTTATTGAATCTCGAACATGATGTTACACATATTCATAATGTGAATGCCAAAAGATGTAAGGTTGATAATGATAGTCCCACATACTTGTGGCATTGCCACCTTGGTCATATTGGTGTCAAACGCATGAAGAAACTCCATGCAGATGGACTTTTGGAGTCTCTTGATTATGAATCATTTGACACATGCGAACCATGTCTCATGGGAAAAATAACCAAGACTCCATTCTCCGGAACAATGGAGCGAGCAACCAACTTGTTGGAAATAATACATACTATGTATGCAGTACAATGAGCATTGAGGCTCGCGGTGGCTATCATTATGTTCTCACCCTCACTTATGACTTGAGTAGATATGGGTATGTCTACTTAATGAAACACAAGTCTGAAACCTTTGAAAAGTTCAAGGAATTTCAGAACAAGATAGAGAATCAACGTGACAAGAAAATGAAGTTCTTACAATCAAATCATGGAGGAGAATACTTGAGTCACGAATTTGGCACGCACTTAAGGAAATGTGGAATTGTTTCACAACTCATGCCGCCTGGAACACCTCAGTGTAATGGTGTGTCCGAACATCGTAATCACACTCTATTGGATATGATGTGATCTATGATGTCTCTTACCGATCTACCGCTATCATTTTGGGGTTATGCTTTAGAGACTGCCGCATTCACTTTAAATAGGGTACCGTCGAAATCCGTTGAGATGACACCGTATTAATTATGGTTTGGGAAGAAACCTAAGCTGTCGTTTCTGAAAGTTTGGGGATGCGATGCTTATGTTAAGAAACTTCAACCTGAAAAGCTCGAACCCAAATCGGAAAAATGTGTCTTCATAGGATACCCTAAGGAAACTATTGGGTATACCTTATGCCTCAGATCCAAAGGCAAGATCTTTGTTGCCAAGAATGGATCCTTTCTAGAGAAAGAGTTTCTCTCGAAAGAAGTGGGAGGAAAGTAGAGCTTGATGAGGTACCCCCTCTTGAACCGGAGAGTAGAGCAGCACAAAAAAGATGTTTCTGTGGTGCCTGCGCTGACTAGAGAGGAAGTTAATGATGATGATCATGAAACTTTGGATCAAGTTGCTACTTAACTTCATAGGTCCACAAGGACACGTTCCGCACCAGAGTGGCACGACAACCCTGTCCTGGAAATCATGTTGTTAGACAATGGTGAACCTTCGAACTATGAAGAAGCGATGGCGGGCCCGGATTCCAACAAATGGCTTGAAGCCATGAAATCTGAGATAGGATCCATGTATGAAAACAAAGTATGGCTTTGATGGACTTGCCCGTTGATCGGCAAGCCATAGATAATAAGTGGATCTTTAAGAAGAAGACTGACACGGATGGTAATGTGACCGTCTATAAGGCTCGTCTTGTCGCTAAGGGTTAGCGACAAGTTCAAAGGGTTGACTACGATGAGACCTTCTCATCCGTAGCGAAGTTGAAGTCCGTTTGAGTCATGTTAGCAATTGCCGCATTCTGATTATGAGATCTAGCAAATGGACGTCAAAACAACATTCCTTAACGGTTTCCTTAAGGAAGAATTGTATATGATGCAGCCGGAAGGTTTTGTCGACCCTCAGAATGCTGACAAAGTATGCAAGCTCCAGCGCTCCATCTAACAGGTTTTTTACATCACCGTTTGCGATTAATGCATCGCATACAGTTTCATTGAAGGGTCTCTGATTGTAGTGTTGCGTTAGCAGCATCCTGCAGTAGTGATAGGGGAGTATGGGGGAGCAATCTACTTGTCTTCATCAAGCCAACGCAATCAAGAAATGTGGTCCAACTTGAGGAACTCAAGATTGTCATCATCAAGCTCAAGTGGACTATGTGCAACGCAAAGGTTTGCCCTTGATGGGTTTTCTATTTTACCGGTCTCATGGTGGTAGTTGGGAGATCGGGTTATAGGATCGGGTGGCGTACTATCAAGGGGGCTCTCAAGTAAGTAGCTTGATAGTATCATTAGTAGAGAGCTCAAACTATTGTATCCTTGCATCATATTTCTTGGTTCTTGTTTGGTGCTTCTCTTTGTGAGTTTTAGTTCTTATGGTCATCTTCATGACAAGCTCGAGTTCATCGAAAATGGAGTTCATATGCATCTTCTATGATGTTTTCGATGTTGGAGTTTTTGCCGGTTCTCTATTCATAGAGAGTTCACATCTCTATATCATTGACATTTTTCTACTGCCTCTTCTCACTTTAACCAGTCATTGTTCGGATAGTACTCGTTGCCATCTATCCAACAAGCTTGAGTTTGCTCAATTCTGAGCTCATATGCAGAAGTTATGGCAGTTCTGGTTTTCTTGCTCCTTCTGTTTTGCTTGGGCAGTTTTCCAGCTTGAGCGGTAGTAAAGCGGTAGTAACTCTTCCCCGAGCGTAGTACCTCTTAGGCGGTACTTCCGCTGACCAGCTCCGCTTCCACTTCCACTTATTTTTATGCTTCTATTACCCAATCCGCTTGAGCAGTAGTAGAGCGGTAGTACCTCTCTAAGCGGTAGTACTGCTCCCCCGAGCGGTACTACCTCTCAAGCTGAAAAACTGCCCAAGGTCCCCAATGGTCCCTATCTTTCTAGCTCGTGTTCTTCCCCCATTGTTGACCTTCTTCGATCTTGCTTTCTTTCAATCCCTCCATGGATTCTTGCTAGTTTTGGGGGGAAAGAGAGAGGATGTCTAGATCCACATTTCCACCAATCACTTTGTCCTCTATGTGAGGGGAACCCCTTGGATCTAGATCTTGGAGTTCTTGGTGTTCTCCTTGTTCTTCCTCTCATATTCCTCCATAGCTTTTGTTGTTGTTGTGGGATTTGGAAGTGAGGGACTTGACCACTTCGTGTGTTCTTGCCATTGCATTAGTTTGCATCGATTTGAGTTCTCCACGGTGATATGTGAAAGTGAAAGTTGAGAAGCTTGTTACTCTTGGGTGTTTAGGCACCCTAGAGCTTGTGCCTCTTGGATGCTTGGGCGCCCTAGACAGTTGGTGGTGCCGCGGAGCTCAATCATTGTGGTGAAAAGCTCTGGGACAAGTATCGAGGTCTCCAATTAGGTTGTGGAGATTGCCCCGAGCAATTTGTACGGATTCCGGTGACCACCCCCAAGGGTTGCCAAAGTGTACGGGTTCAGTGACTGCCCTCAAGGGTTGCCATTTGTACGGGTTCGGTGACCGTCCTTAAGGGCCCCTTAGTGGAATCACAACATCTTGCATTGTGCGAGGGCGTGAGGAGATTACGGTGTGTCTAGTAGCTTCTTGGAGAGCATTGTGCCTCCACACTGCTCCAAACGGAGATTATGATCCGCAAGGGTGTGAACTTCGGGATACATTGTCGTCTTCGCGTGCCTCGGTTATCTCTTACGCGAGCCCTTTACTTATACACTTTACTTTGTGATAGCCATAGTGTTACATGTTATATATCTTGCTATCACCTAGTTGTTTATATTGGTTAGCATAAGTTGTTAGTGCACATAAGTGAGCCTAGTTGTTTTAGGTTTTGTGCTTGACAGATTAAATGCTAGTTTTATTCCGCATTTATTCAAGCTTAAACCGTAATTATTTTAAAACGCCTATTCACCCCCCCCCCTCTAGACGACATCCATGATCTTTCGGGGGGGGGGGGGTCTTTAAAAAGAAATAAATTCCTTAATGAAATGGTATGATGAAAAAGAAGGAAGTGTGGAAAAAATGACAAAAAGATATTGGAACATTAATTTGAAAGAGATGATAGAAGCATGCCTTCATTTTGGTCATGGTATTAAAAATAGAATCCTAAAATGGCCCTTACATTTCGGCAAAGCGTAAAGGTACTCATATTATAAATCTTGCTAAAACGGCTCATTTTTATCAGAAGCTTGTGATTTAGTTTAGCAAGTTAAGGGGAAAGGTTTCTTAACCGTTGGTACCAAAAAAAAGAGCAAAAAGATTTTGTAGCATCAGTTGCAACAAGGGCTCATTGTCATTATGTTAATAAAAAATAGTTCAATGGTATGTTAATGAATTGGCTCATTGCCATTATGTTAATAAAAAGTGGTTCAGTGGTATGCTAACAAATTGGCCGATTAATTAGACTTTCTCAATTTAGAGGAGTGTGGGGCTTTGCGGGCATTCATACCACTGTCACGCACGCCTCCGACAACTTGACCACACCCAAAACCTCTCCTTTGCCCGTGGCCTTTCCGGTCCGGAGCAACTGTTGCCTCGAGTCCCAAGTGGGCGGTCCGTCTCGCATGTTCTACTCATTCGCGCCGATGACCGCACCTTCACTTCACAAGTCTCGTTCAGGTCCCTCATGGAGACCACGAGATGGACCTGGCACCGCTGGAAGGGAAGAACAAGGACGTGGAGGACGGGCACTGTCGTGGAGTAGGTTCAGGTCCAGCCTTAAAAAGAATTATTGAAAATGTAATGAATGTGCTTCGGTTTATGTGAAAATCATCTGGTTTACACGAATTTTGTCCAATTTATTGAAATCCACTTTGAAATGTATGTGTGCACGGTTGAATGGCCAGTTTTTGCATCAATATTCGCGGACTGGTCGCCACTGGTCCGTGGTCGGATTCGGTGTCCCAATTAGGGGTCAACGTTGGAAATGCCCTAAAAGCATCTAGTAGGTGAGCTGAATCCCCTCCTCGCAAAATCAATTTAGGATTCGCCCTAAATCAATTTTGCATGCAGTTTATTCCCTGCATGGAACAAAACACCGGATCTGATACAGGATAATTTAAAAACTTCAACAAAACAAGTTACCGCTACATAGTAGATAGTCCGGAGCTTGCTGGAATTCATCACAAACAAACTAAACAAACTTAAACTAGAAACTACGGAGGGTCGGCCGCAGCTTATGGCTTCACGCCGAGGTAGAACTCGCAGGCGAAGCGGTAGATGGTGTAGGCGAGCTCGTACTCCGTGTGCACCGCCTCGAAAGCGTCCGGCGACGCCCTCTTCACCGGCGTCCAGCGCCTCCTTCGTGGCGAAGCGCATGATTTCCGCCTTGCGGAGAGCCTCCGTCGACGACCACAACGCCTCATACAGCGGAAGCGCCGCCACCCGTGGCTCCCGCTGCGGTTGCACACCTGGGCCGAGCGCCACGGCTCGACTGCGAGCTGCCGGCCTCCGCGTCGTGTTGGCCACGCTTGCGCGACGGGGAGCCCATGTCCACAGCCTTCTCTCGACATGGGTGCGCTCGCTTGAGCTGCAAAAAAACGGTGTCCAAGGTGAAAAAGAAAGCGGCGGAGGGGAAGAGGAACATGGCGGATCTATTACGAGACGGTAGACTTAAATCGCTCCCTCCCCGTACATATAGCGGCTGGAGGGGCGGTTTGCGGGCCGCCCGTATAAATTTTACAGTCTGCTGCAAATTTGTCAGACATATTCCAGCCCGTAAAAGCCCGAATATGCTATAACGCTGGAGATATAAGGGTTGGCGGCACGATAGAGATGCTCTAAGGTGGTACACTGTTGGCTCACATGGCCTAATATCTTCCTGAAAATGCAACGAAAATTAGTGTAAACAGGTTTTGTCTAGGGCACATCTAGATGTGCCTTAATTATTGCACATCTAAGTGACACAAGCAAGCATAGAAAGAAAAAAAGGAAAAAAAGGAAATATTCACATGAATCTTCGCATAAGATCAATGATACAAGACTTGATTGTGCAATGGTACATCTAGATACACTTTAGCAAAAACTGAAACAATGCATATAAGAGCAACTCCAATGAGGCGACCCATTTTGTCCGTTTGGGTCATTCGGACACAAAAGTTGGCCCAACGGGGCGACCCAGACGGACATAGCGTCCGCCTGCTGTCCGTTTCGTGTCCGCTCAGACCCATTTTCATCTCAAATTTGGGACACATTTGGGTCCGCGGCGGACACAAAGCGAACACTTTTTGTGGCCTCCTCGTCCGCCTTCGTTCGCTGCATGCGAGCACTGGCCCATCTGTCAGCCACCCACCCATCCCACCCCCGTCTCTCTCCTCCTTTTCTCTTTCTCCCATCCACCCCACAGTGCCCCACCACCGGCCGCTTCGGCCTCCGTCGCGAGCTAGCAGGGAGCAAAGGGGCATCGCTGGAGAAGCACCGGAGCCGGGGCAACGCCGGGCCAAGCGGATGCTCTCGACGACCTCGCCGCGCAGGCGGCGCACCTCCACAGCGAGAACACGCGCGACCCCATGCTCTCGACGACCTCGTCGGGGCGTGGGCGAGCCGCGAGCTGCTGCTGGCATACAGCGCGGGTGGCGTGCGGTGCACTGCCGGGGCGAGAGCTACTGCAGCCCCCGCGAGCTGCTGCGGGAGGAGCTCGGGCACGAGTAGCACGGGGCCGGAGCTGCGGGAAGGGGCACGCAACGCGGGTGGCGTGCGGTGCGCGGCCGGGGCGAGAGCTGCTGCAAAGTCGGCGAGGCGCATGCGATGGGGCGCGGGTGCGGCGGTTCGGGAGCTGCGGGGCAGGGTGCGGGGCGAGGCTGCACGGCTGTTGGTTGGAAGCTCGTCGGATGCAGGTCAGATACTCGTCGGATGCTAGTCAGACAATAATTGGATGTTGGCATCAAGCTGTGCACGAAGCCTCTTGACATGAAGTTGCTCGTGCTCTGCGTGTGATGTCTACACGGGGGGTGGCTGCTTGCATGCATGTGCTGGTGCGAGCACGCGACCGGAGCACGGGCGTCGGCGGAGGCGACCTCGCGGGGGCGTGACCAAGTTGCAGGGCGGGCGCGGCGAGCTGCGGGGCGGGGCGCGCGCGACGGGCCCGACGAGCTGCGAACGGGAGCTCGCGGGCGCAAGATAAGGTTGCGCGGGAGCTCGCCCACCAGGTGTTTGACTGAATGCCGACGCGGATATGCACAAAATGGGCCTGGCTTCTGTTGGGCGCACCGGCCGACCCAAATGAAAAAGCGGATGCGGACAGGCGGACGGGCGACCCAAACGGACAAAAAACGGACAAAATCAACGTCTGTTTGGGTCGCCCCATTGGAGTTGCTCTATAAGAGCAACTCCAATGGGGTGATAGAGCAACTCCAATGGGGCGACCCATTTCGTCCGTTTGGCTCATCCGGACAAAAAAGTTGGCCCAACGGGGCGACCCAAACGGACAAAGCGTCCGCCCGCTGTCCGCTTACTGTCAGTCCCCGACCCAAACTGAACACAAATATGCGACGAAATGCGTCCGCGACGGACGAAAGCGAGCGCTCCCGTCGTCCACTCCCCATCCGCTGGTGCCCTGTCGTGTCTGCCCTGGCCCCACAAATCAGCGGCCCCGCACTTTCCCCTTTTCTTCTCTCTCTCGGCCAGAAGAGATGGAATCCATGGCGGGCGGCGCGGTGCGGCGAGACCCGGGGAACTGCAGATCTCGTCCATGGGGATGGGCCCGTGGAAGGTCTCGCCGTTGAAGGTGCCGGTGGCCTTGAAGCGATGGTGCAGGCCGTGGGCGCCTTCGGCTCCGCGGCGGACGACGAAGACGGATGTGCTGCAGGCCGTGGGCGCCTTCGGCTCCGCGGCGGGCGACGAAGACGGCTGCGTAGCGGTGGCGACGAGCTCGGGGCTGGGCGGGGCGAGCGGGGGGCTGGGCGCGGC